TCCTTCCTGAGATCCTGAGGCCTTGAATGTGTTATTTTGAAACAATCCTCATTGTTCTGAGATGTCAAAGTCAGCCAGCAGACACAGATAAGGCTGTTTTTCTGAATACAGGAGTAAAATCTGGTCACTGAAGTCTACTGGACCTGGAAAGTTAGGAGAGCAAATAAAATAAGACTTAAGATCCACATGGCTGTGTCCAGTCCCCATATCCTGTCAGTTCAAAATAGTCCCCATGTGTATACACAATTAGCATGTAGTTCTAAAACCTGGTTTTTCGCAGCGCCAGGGTAGCTCAGTCGGCTAAGCGTCGGACTTCTTGCGGTCCGTGGGTTCGAGCCCCGCGGCCGGTTCTGTGCTGACGGCTCGGAGCCTGGAGCTGCTTCGGGTTCTGTGTCTCCCTCTCTCTCTGCCCCTCCCCGGCTCCCGCTCTGTCTCTCTCTCAAAAATAAGTAAACATTAAAAAAAAATTTTAAACTGGTTTTTCACTTAACGCCATCCCTGAGCATGTGTCCGTGGCATCTCTTCCGTCCCACGGCTGGAATCCTCCACCGCCCTCCAGGAGCCGTCGGCCTCGTCCACGGACGGGCGTGGACAGGACACTCCTGCCCTTCTCAGTGGCTTTCCTGGTGGTGGCAGTGGGTGCCAGGTCACGGCTGGAAAGTGAGGCTTCCTGGGGGTCGCACTTGAAGGCGCAGAGCCTGGTGGGCGGAGAGCGGGATCGGAGGCGGAGGTGCAGAGCCCAGGGAGCCCAGGGCCTGTGTGGAACTGGGTGCTCCCCACGCCGGTTCCATCCTACACCCAAGCCCGGCGGCCATGCCATCTGCCCGTGCGGGGTACTCTCCCTGCAGTCTCTCGGTTGCCCGGACATCCCAGGACACCCCTGTGGCCCTGTGACACCCGCTGCCTGAGTGCTGCCTCCCGTCCACAGTCACCAGTGGCAGGCATTGTCCTCGGCCCCGGGGAACACCCTCCCCTTCTCCATTCTCTTGAACCCCTGGACTCCGGGATCCAGGCTGATGGGCTCCTCTGGATGACACGGGAGCCCCTAGGGGCCGGCTCAGCCATCCACACCCTCCTCCCACGACAGCCTGGGTCCCAAGGAGGGGCGGTGAGGCCGTCCCCACGCCCCTCCCCGCCGTGAGCTCTGCACCCTCTCATCCTTGCCCGGTTTAGGGTCTGAGAAGCCTGGGGATTCCCCTCTGGGACCTACTACCAGGGGCAAGGTGAAGCCCCCAGACCGCTCAGTCCCCTCCCACCCAGGGGGCGGTTCTGGTGCCTCCCCCGCCCAACACTGCCCCTGCCCCTTTGGACGGCGTGAGCTTCTGCAGCCCTCCCAAGATGAGTCCATTTGACCCTGACATTGGCCAGGAGAGCATGCACGTTAGAGCAGAAGCTTCTGGCCCGCCTTGTCCCACCCCTGGGGCCCCAGAACAGGGGGCCCCCCGCAGAACTCTGACCCAGAGCCCGGGGCACTGGGCCAGTGGGATCATTCAAGGCCACGGAGGCTGGGAGAGGCCTAGAGAGAGAGAAGCAACCATCCAGATGTTGTCCAGAGCGGTGGTGCCATTTTGCATTCGCACCGCGTAGGATGTATGAGAGTTCCGGGTTTTCATCCTCCTCCTGAATGACCAACTGTTCAGCTCTGCCTCAGGCAGAGGGGTTTCCAGGGATGTGGGACTTTCAGTGCCAGAACTGGAAACTCCCTATTATCAGTACCTTTGATTTTAGCCATTCTAACAGGCATGTAGACAGTACCTCGCTATGGTTTTGTTTGCATTTCCCTGATAGTTAATGACGTAAAGCATCTATTCACGTGCTACTGCCATTCACCCATCTTAATTAATTATGTATTTATTCTTTTTTTTTTTTAATTTTTTTTTATAACATTTATTTATTTTTGAGACAGAGACAGAGCATGAACGGGGGAGGGGCAGAGAGAGAGGGAGACACAGAATCGGAAGCAGGCTCCAGGCTCTGAGCTGTCAGCCCAGAGCCCGACGCGGGGCTCGAACTCACGGACCGTGAGATCGTGACCTGAGCTGAAGTCGGACGCTCAACCGACTGAGCCACCCAGGCGCCCCAATTATGTATTTATTTATGAGATAGAATGAGCAGGGGAGGGGCAGAGAGAGAGAGAGAGACAGAGAGAGAGACAGAGAACCCTAAGTAGGGTCTGTGCTGTCAGTGTAGAGCCCAACTCAGGGTTCCAACCCACGAACCATGAGATCATGACCTGAGCCGAAGTCAAGGGTTGGACGCCCAACCGACTGAGCCACCCAGGTGCTCCTCACCACCCCCTTTAATGAAGTGTCTATTCAAGTCTGTTCTCAATTTTTTTTTAATTGGGTTGTTTTCTAACTGTTGAGTTTGGAGAGCTCTGTGTATATACGTTGTATAGTATGTGTATAGTATAAATACATATTTCACGTACATACATCCGTATGTATGTATGTATGTATGTATTTGGATATGTGCTTTGCAGTTTTTTTCCCCCAGCCTTGTAGCATGTCTTTTCCTTCTCTCAACAGTATCTTTCTGAAAGCAAAATTTAAAAAATTTGTTGACATTCACTTTATCACTGCTTTTCTTTCTTTGCGTTAAATGCACGTAACGTAGGGGCGCCTGGATGGCTCAGTCAGTTAAGCGTATGACTCTTGGTTTCAACTCAGGTCACGATCTCAGTTTCCTGAGTTCAAGCCCTGCATAGGGCTCCGTACTGACAGGGTGGAGCCTGCTTGAGATTCTCTGTCTCCCTCTGTCTCTGCTCCTCCCCCACTTGCGCTATCTCTCTCTCTCTCAAAAATAAACTTTAAAAAATTAAATACACATAACATAGACTATACAGTGTACAATTCAGTGGGATTAACAAATTCACGATGTTGTGTAATCATCACCACTATTTCCAGGACTTTTTAAAAATCACCCCAAACAGAAACTCTGTCCCTATTAAGTAATGATTCCCTGTTCCCCTCCTCAGCCCCTGGAAACCTGTATTTGACTTTGTCTTTTGAATTGGCCTATTCTCCATGCCTTAGGTAAGTGCAATCATGCAGTATTTGCCTCTTGTGACCGGCGTATGTCCCCTGCGTAATGTGTTTGTTGTTTGTTCTATTTTAAATAGGCTCCATGCTGGGTGTGGACTTGGGACTTGAACACACCACCCAACACAGAACTTGGACTTGACCTCATCAAGATTGGGATGCTTAACTGACCAGCCACCCAGGAGCCCCTGCATAATGCTTTTAAAAGTTCATGTTGTGACACGTGTCAGAACGTAATTCCTTTTCTATTTTATTGTATTTTATTTACTTTAAATTGTGACATAACACACATAAAATTTACCATCTTAAAAGTTGTAAGTACATTAGCATTGTTGTGCACTCAATCTCCAGAACTCTTTATTTTGTGAGACAGACTCTGTGTCGATTAAACAGTAACTCCCCCCATTTCCCCTCCCCCGGACCCTGGCACCCACCGTCTACTCTGCGTAAATCTTCCCCCTCTAGGGACTCCACGTATGTGGACCCATGAAATAATTGGTCTTCTGTATCTGGCTTCTGTTAACGTGGCATAATGCCCTCCAGGTTCATCCATGTTGTCGCAGCTGTCAGAATGTCCTTTTTCAGGCTGACTAGTATTCCACGGCTTTGCTACGTCACATTTTGTTTCTCCATCCCACCCTCCACGGTTACTTGAGTTGCTGCACTGGGCAGGGTCTCCAAAACAGGGCATCGGCGAAAGCCCTCCAAGGCGGAGGGGAGGAGGGAGGAGGGAGAGCAGAGAGCGGGGAGGTGG